TTCCCCCCCCCCCTTTCTTTTCCCCTCGGAATATGCCAGTACCAAAAAAATTATCCAGCCAAATGGACCTCCCAATAACCAAGACAAAACCCGTTTCCGCGGTTTGATATCTGATACGATATTAGGCCCGCAAACAGCTATTTTAGAGCGAAGAAAAAGCAGGAAAAAAGTAGTACCTGCACATTTTCAGTCGTTCATGAAAAGCACGATTATTGGTGTAAGCAGTAAGTAGGGATCGATATACAGTGAATGGCACAAGTTGTTGCGGTAGCAATCGAAGATAAAGCTTCAACAGACCCGCTACCGTATGGATGTCTTCGACCATCGAGAGATCAACCTTATGTAACGTGTCGAATTGCCGTCGAAGCCTCTCCATTTGGTCATGAGAACCGGATACCTGAACCTGTCCATCGTTAATATCACTGATCTGTAGAATCCATAGAGCCAACCCTATCTAACTGTCTTATAAAACTATTTCGATCTTGAATTAATACTTGTTGCTAGAAAATATGCATTCCAAGCATCGAAGAGCCTGGCACAACTGCGCTCAGTGTGTGGGAGCATTCCAGTAACAAAACCAAGTGTTGTAAAAAAATTTTAGAAATACAAACAATGAATATCCCTGGCTAAGAGCTATTGGAAAAGGATGAGGGCCCGAAATCGTCTATGCGTTATTAACATATGCAGTTTATTTGGCGCTGCTGGTCCACCACCGTGGAGAGGAACACAATCGAATTTTGGTAATTAATGGAAACACTGGAAGTGCCATTTAGATCTCTGAGCTGTAAATACAGATGGCCGAATCGGTGCGAAATGGGATGGGAATCATCAGTACAATGGACCATTTCGTCATGTCAAAAGGAACATGTTGATAAACCCACACTGACTGTTCCGGTGATATTCTTGATATTCTGGGTGTAATTTCGAGAATGTTTTACTATTGATTTACAATAACAAAATGCCAGTAAGATGATTGATTACCCTATAGATTCCTTCAGCATGCAAGCCACGTCGTTCAACCTCAGCGATGCAAGCCGAAACAACCGGCGGTACGTCAACATCATGCGCCATACACAATGTACTGATATCGACGGCAAACATGCGTCGCACGTATTTCGCTTCCGGTCGACAGTCATGAATTGTACGTTCGCTGCATTTCTTATGTGCACAAAATCCACAATCTTCACATTTCACACCCTGAAAAACAATTTTTTTCTTATTAAAGTACCCATTTAAGCAAAGGAGCACAAGAAGCATGGTACTGTCTTGAAAAATTGAGGCAAAAAAAACTGGGAAAATACCGTAAATTATCACATAAATACTCCTAAAATTGCATTAGGTTTTCGACACTTTTTGAGTTACCTGCATACATTTATGATCATGAAATTACGTAAAATCTGACGTATGAGAAAGGCTGCTTGCGCTGCTGCTGCTGACAACTAATGGACATCAAATATCATTTG